GAGACAGGAGGAAGGAGACAGAGAGGGAGAGAGAGGGAGACAGGAGGGAGACAGAGAGGGAGACAGAGGGAGACAGGAGGAGGAACCGAGACAAGGAGAGAGACAGAAGAAGAGAGAGACAGTGATGGGACAGACAGACGGACATCACTGTCTCAGAACAAGATGGCCGCCGAAGAGAAACAAGTTTGTTTTTACTTTTTCTTTGTCTATTTTTTTTTTTTTTATAAAACATGAAAATGTCTTCATGAAGAAAGTCTTAATCGTCACCGTGGAAACGTTTGACTGCTGGCTGAACATCTTATTTCTTTGTTACACAAACAACAACGCTCATTAAATATGTAACTCATTAAACTATGACGTCATGATTCATCTGATCAGAAACTGACTGAACTTCAGAGGTTAAAGGAACAGGGTAACATGTTAAGTATATAATTAATGTATAATCACGTTGTGTATCGTTAGCTTAGCATTACCTGTTTAGAGCTACATACGAGGCTCTTCTACAGAAGCCCAGATGAGACAAAACCAACACAGACGGCAGGTTTCAGTTGGTCACAATTCTCAAAATGTCAAACTATTCCTTAAAACGACTTGTTTTTGTGTTGAAAGATGAATCATTATGACTTATTATAATAATAAACACTGACCGTCCTAAAATGTCTCCTCTGACTTTGAGAATCACTCAAACATCACAGAACGCTGAGAAGAAAAGAAACGTCTTCATGTATCACGCGTTCAATTATCTGCACTCGTTAACGAGGGAAATATTAATCTTCAAGCCAATCAATGCTGTCGGGTGGAAATGGAATATTTAATTTGGGTCATTTTTGTTCCCTTTGTTGTGTTTTGGGGCAAATTACTTGAATTTATGGGGGATTTTGTCTCCGATTTATTTCTGACGCTGAAATTCTACATTTACGGAATAATTTGTAAGACTTTTCCTGAAAGAACTGAGATTTGATAAAAAATGTAGGTAAAATATGAATGACCTAAGAAATTAATAAAATGTTCTTTAATTGTTTTATATGTTGACGTTAACTGGACAAATTGTTTTACTACTTTATGTTGAAACTTCCTGGAATAACTGAGCTAAAATAGAACATTTCCTACTAATTAAAGCAGTAATGAGATTAGCTGATAGCCTCGTTAGCTTAGCACAGAGTTCTGATCCGGCAGCTTGTTTACAGAATATTAACAAACACGTTTCCCTCCTGAATAATTGAACTTTACTAAAAGTTTGTTTTAAGAAACCAGACGACTCTAAATACTACAATACCCATGAGCCTCAGCTGCTGTTGCCATGGGGATAAGTGACTAAATGTAGCCGTTAGCATCACATATAGCAGAATGTGACCCCGATTGGTGTGTTGGTGAAATGCATCCTGGGAGTCGTAGTTTTGACTCATGAACAGTTTCCGATGATTCAAAGAGTTTCATGTCAACAATAAAAAGAATAAAAAGTGAGCGTTAGTTATGTGAACTCTCCTCGTTTTCATCTTTATTCATCATCGTCTCAGCAGCAGAGTCAAACTGTCAGAACACAAATACAATAAACGGAGCAGTTTTTATAAAATATACCGTCGTTATAACTTCATTTACAATATCGCTAAACATCTGGTGGAAAGTCGGTGGCTGTAAAGTGGAAGTGATTATCAGAGCTGTGTTTCCTCCGTGTTTATTATTCAGTATTAATAATAATGTGCCCTCATTTTACCAGACAATTTTGACAATTTTTCCACAACTTTTACAACCAAAAACTCGATTAAAACACTTTAAAAATTAAAACGAGGCTTTTAAAACCATAAATTATAATTAAAAATAAATTAATGAAGCTTTGAAATTGTCTAAAGCCACATTCTATTATTGTTTACATCAGTAAAATTAACAATGAAGACACTCACTATATATTTCTACCTTGTTCTATCGTCGGTTGCTAGCTAGCTAATGAAAAACAGTCGCTAGCTAATGCGAGCTAACGTGCAACGGTCGCTAGCTAGCGAGCTAATTAACTTGTAACGGCTTTTTACAAGCTTCCAGCTAAGTGTTTATTTAAGTGACTCTTTAACTGATGTTATTAAACCCGTAATAATAATCATCGCCGCTTGCACTCGTCAACTTCGTTAGCGAGCCCGTAGCAGTTAGCACGTTTTTGGTGAATTGTTTCTCTTATGTACATTTATATGTTCACACAGTTAATTACACATTTTATCCATTTTTAACTGTAATTATTACTAAATTTAATTATTGGAACTGTTGGAAATTATCTCAGAATTACCGACGTGAAATAAAACTTACATTTATTTATGATTACAATGAATTCATCTGAACTAGTTTCAGCAGAAAGCAGCAGTGAAGATCAACAAACACGGAGGAAACTGCTGGAGGTCAGAGGTATCTGCTGAAGTCGGGTTCTTCCTGGTCCGTTTGCTACAACGGTTTACAGACAAGGAATGTTTCTAAATACATTTCTCTGTCATGAGTTCATGTTGTGACTCCAACAGGAAGAAGAAGACGGTAGAAAAAGTTAAGGCGCTGGCGGCTGAACGGACGACTTTTATCTGAGATTAAAGATTAAAGTGTGAGGAGGACTCCAGAAGCTCAGCTGGTCCTCAGAGTCCAGACACTGACCTCCGAAATGTGAGAGACAAGCTGCAGCCGCCGGTCACTGCAGGGATTCGAACCGGCAACCTTCCACTCTGAACTATTCACATTGTTCTGCTGCACTTTAACAGCCAGCAGCCGTTTGTTTCCTGTGAAGTTATAATCTGGCTCCACTGTTACGTTAACGTTTCATAGAAGCCGATCGTCATATCGTGGTCACGTTCTATCGTCTTCATCCTTCATGCTGCGTTCACAACAAAGCAAAGCTACATGTTGGCGTCACATTATTCACAGGATCACTTGTGTTTAACGTCACTCCGGTTGTTGAAGAACCAGATATCCAGGAAACTAAACTCATGTCTGGTTCATGACATCATCAGGAGGAGTTCTCACTGTGTCTAATAAACCACACGTCAGCTGTTTACTACTGCACCAACACTAAATATCCATCAGTGCTAGGCTATATGCTAGGCTAACAATGTAGCATCTCCATCAACACTCAACATAACGTCGATGAAGACAGCAGCGACTTTCTTCCGTCCTCTCGCGTCTTTGCTTTGACTTTGTATTTAAAGAAGATTCTCTTGGTGTTTGATGTGAACGCAGCGTTAGATAAGAAAGGTGACCACATGTTTCCTGCAATAATAGAGTCAATATTCTTCTCCATCATCGATGAGAATATTGAGAACAAACAGGAAGTCAGGTTGAGATAATTCGTCTGTTTGAACCCTTTGATCTCTGGAGAGTGAAATCTGTCTCAGGAGTCTTTGGAGCAGCGCCCATGACGGCCCAATGCTCGCTCTCTCTCTCTTTGTTTCCTCTGGCGCCCGATCGAGAGACGACCCGTCACAGAAGGCGGCGGCGCTGCTTCTGGTTCTTCTGGTTCCTCTCAGCACATGGAGATGGTGACGTTGATCCCCAGGTTGCCGTTGTCGGCGAACAGGTGTGCGATGGAGGTGTCGAACACGAGGCAGTCGCTGTTCATGATGGCGGCCGCCACCCCGTCGTGGATGGAGCGCGGCGTGGCCTCCCAGGTGAGCCGGCGCCGGTTTCCGTTGAGCTCCAGGCGGTAGGCGAAGTTCTCGGCCTGCTTGCGGGTGCCGATGAGCAGCACGACGGCGAAGAACTGCTGGTGGCCCTCGTACTTCTCCTGCTTCTCCAGGACCAGCATGAAGTGGTGGCTGAAGCATGACTGCATCATCACCCAGTCTACGGCGCCCGGCAGGTTGATGTCCGTCGCCAGGAAGACGATGTCCTCGCCCTGCAGAGACACAGAGACACGGCGGAAATCATGGAAACAGTCATTTTGTTTCCCCCGATTTCTAACCAGCTCCTCAAACTGAAGAACTGGAGCTCAGATAAGCTGAAAAATAAACACTTTGTGTTGAGATTAAGAGTCAGATCTAGTCGGCAGACCAGCAGAGAAGTCTTAACAGTCAACTAATGCTGATAGCGTTGCAACTGGTTAGAATAGTTAGTGAAGAATGTTTGATAGAGTTTAAATAGTTAGCTAAAGGTCATTAATAAACAGCTAAAAGCTAACAAGTACTGGATTTGAAGTAACACTGATATGAAGTCCTACTAACAGCAACATGGACTCACCTGCAGCGTGGTGATGGACTTGTGAGCGTGCATCAGGTGAGGCATGACTGCCTCCAGAGAGCCGTGCCACTTACAGGTGGCTCCAGGACACGGACAGGTGTACGGACGGAACTCACACACCTCCTCGTGGTCCGGCTTCTCACTGTGGTGAAGGGACAGAAGACAGCCGGCCGCCGAGTACTGGGGACACAGGTACAAGTACTCAAGTACTATCAGCTTCATGTAGTTAAAGTAGTGACTGTGTAGTTCAGTGGTACTCAGTGTGTACTGGCTGTAATGTACTACTTACAGCTGAGACAACAGACATGACTGTGATTATTGTGGTATTAGTACTTCTACTTCATGAAGGGATCTGAACACTTCTTCCATAATCTGGTGTGTTTAATAACTGAGTCATAAAGCAGATTAAAATGTCTCACGTCACCTTCACAGCAGCAGATTATCAGATTTAAAAAGTCAAATTTAAGCTGCGATCACGTTGTTTACACATCACGGTTCGTCTTGTTGTCTTTTAGTCAAAGCAGATGAATGGACAAAGATTTTTAACCACTGAATCTATCGTAAACTAAATAACTAGAATCTGTAGAACTGTGAAACAGGTCAACAGGAATCCTCTGATCCAGAGTTTTTCGGGGGATTTAAAGAATTATTCTCATCAGGACTCTCAGGAACTTCTATCTTTGTGAGGACCAATGGGAGGCCTCGACACTGAGGACATTCTGTCCTCAAAGAGTCAAGACTTTTAAGGGTCATTGACCTGAAGACTGACGATGAGAATATTAGTGATTAGAATGCAACCTCATGAGCTGATGTACTTCATTATAAACAGATGTGAAGAAACATCTTCCTCCTCCACAGTTGAAACACCAACACACACTGCAGCACCACGATCAATACCAATCAGGCAAAGAGCGTGTGTGTGTGTTGATAAATGGCTTTGAGGGAAAAGGGTTCATCAGGCTTCAAGTTCAGGTTTTTTTCATTGGGAGTAAATCAGTTTTATAACAGTCTTGTTGACAGCGCCCTCTAGTGGCTGCAGTGTTTACTGTGTATTCTTAGTAAAAACCTCCGGAAGTCAGAGCTTCATGTGTCAAAGCTGCATTCTCTCTAGTGTCCACCAGGGGGCGACTCCTCTGGTTGTATAGAAGTCTATGAGAAAATGACTCT